TACAGGAATAGCGTTGGTAAACAGGTTGAAAGTGGTTACCAATCTAGCATGACAGTGACCACTTCCAAAATGTTCTGTTAGGGCGACAAGGACTACTTTGTTTTCACACCTCATCAAGTTATTTCATATCAATTTCATATCATTATTTCATATCAATTTCATTTCATCTCAATTTATGTATACTACTGTTTCATTATTGTTATTGTATCATTTTGCCCGTGTTTGAATTGTTTTGATAACAATTCCTTATGTATGTATAATGCCTTATTTCAATTCAATTATGTTTACTTTTGGTTAGTATAGAGGAGGAGGGCTTAGCATAAGCTAAATAAGCTTTTTCCCTCCTCCTGCACCTGTTTTATTCATTATTAATTTATTATGTATAATTTTTTTTATTGCTGCTGTGCAAATAATAAACAAACAAACAAACAAACAAAACAAACAAGTTAGGGCTCACAGGTGAGAGAACGCTCTAATGGCGAGAGAAAGTGTTTGTATCAATGATCTCTATCTTGATATATCTCCTATCTAACACAGGTGATCTACTACCCAACAGTGAGGTGCACATACTAAGAATAGCCACCAGTGCCACTGGGCAATTTCTAAACACCAAGTGATAAAAGGAGGCGTGACATATTTTGCTGTCGAAAGTTATCGCACAGAGGGGCAATTCGCAATCTTTGCGTCATAACCGTACTAAATCCTTCTGAAATTGCCGGAGAATGCCGTATCCACCTACCCGAAAATCAATCGACCATTGATAATGCCGTAAAGTTTGTTTGAGGACACGTCAGAAGGACACATGCGGTGGCCGTAATGGACCATCCCTTGTCTACGTACACTACCTCACGGCGTCTTTCTGGCAGTGTCTCAAATAGTGTTATAAGGCCACAGCAAGTAATTTTTATGGATGACATCAGCGCACGCGTTAATTTTCGCCTGATTTGGGGGAAAAAAAAAGAAATTCTGTTGCCCTCTGACAGTGGTCAACATGCCGAAAATGGGCAAAGATGTCTGTTGCCATGCCGGAAGGTGGATGGCAAATATCTATGAAGAGATCGATAGAGGAGACAAGAAAATTCTCTGATTGAATGTTTTGTTTCTTACTTTGATGCAGTGATATGTGATGCTGGTTGTGTATATGTGATGTTCCCACTGAATAAAAACTTTTTGTACAATGATTGAGTCAAAATTGCAAAATGTAGGAACCTTGTTTTCTTCGGCCCGCCTTGTTTTTTTCGCCCGCTCGCATTAGATTTGGAGTCTGCGGAGGATGTCATCCATAGAATTTACTTGCTGTGGCCTAAGTATCATTCTATGCCATAAGACGGCTTCAAGTGACAAATTCGCTGCGATATCTTTTTCAAAACAGAAGAGAGGCGAAAGCGTGAGAAAGGAATGAAGACTGCTAGTATTGTTGTGCGTGGATATTCAATATTCATTGCGAGTAAAATGGTATGCCCTTATCCACTGAAAGTGGGTGAAAGAGATGAATTATCTGGATTATGCAATAATCTTCAATTTTTAGTTCGTTCATTGGAAACTTGGACTCATGGACCCTCGTTTTATGTACACGAGCCTTTGTCTGATGAAAATCTAAAGGCTTGACATACATGTGTACACCACAGAAGGCCACAGCAAGTATAGATCGAAGTTATGGATGACATCCTCTGCAGACTCCAAATCTAATGCGATAGGCCGAAAAAAAACAAGGCGGGCCAAAAAAACAACATTCCTACATTTTCAATTTTTTACATCTTAAAGCTTGTTAAACAAGAAATGATACCTATATTCTTTACTGCCAAACTATTACAACATCCATTTCTCACTGAAACGACTTTGAAAAATAAAATTTTCAGGCATTGTACAAAATTTGATTCAGTGGGAACACCACATATACACTGTCACCATCACATATAAAAGGAATGAAATACATCACTACATCAAAATAAGACAAACATTATAAATCATACAGTCTCCTCTCTTCATATTTATCTGCCATACACGTTCCGGCTTGGCAACAGACATCTTTGCCCATTTTCGACATGTTGACCACTGTCAAAGGGCAACGAAATTTCTTGTTATTGTTATTGTTTGAAAATCAGGCGAAAATCAATGCGTGCGCTGATGTCATCCATAAAAATTACTTGCTGTGGCCTAAGGGGAGATACACATTCACAGACTGATAGAGTACATGGAGACATATATAACGAGCGGTAGAGACAAGATAACTGCGTACGACATGCCTTTTTGAGTGAGGACCGGGATATACATCACTATAACGTGTGGCATCCATCATAAAACGTCCCCGGAATTTGCACCATGCAGTGTCACATACTGCCCCGCCTCCTTGTTTTATTGGCCCCACACCAGACGTTTATATGGGACATGACTAAATGTAATCTCGTGGTCTCACGTCCTAATCTCTATAAAGACACTCCTGTTGGTAGTAAAACGAATTCTTGTATGACAAACCAGGCATGATTTGCGAGACCACCAGATGAGCCAAGAGAATGGAAACTTTAGTATCATCTGCCAATCTGTGAATCCCAAACCGCTGGGAACGGCTGCGTTTGGATTCCGAATGGGATCAGGCACGAAAGAAAACAAAGATCATACAGCTGTTAGAAATACGGTAACATATATCATAATCGAAATGTCTTTGCATGATTTGTGCTGTTGTATAGAACTATGCTATCATTTTCTTGATGGAGTGCAGAAGACATACTGCTTGGTGGATTGTAACATTCGATTCTCTGAATACAACTTTGCCGCAAGAGCAATTAGGTATGCCCACCAAACAGTAGATGAAATTAGTCCGGCCCGGAGATATAATTAAACAGTAGCTACGGCCGGAAAGACCCTAGAATCGACCAGCGAGCAATCTTGGAGCGAAATCCGCTAAACTGATTAGATGATGGCGAACCATATATGGTAAAGTTGTCTTTGATTGCATTTAACTCCATTGCCAAGTCTGTGATTCCAAATAAAGACTATTTGCATTTGTGTCCATTGAACTAAAAAGAATCAAAATGTTTACAAAAACATGCTCACAAATCGTGCTTACAAAGTTTCTAACATTGTATCTCTCAGACATTGCCACCTGCATCAGCGTAGACCTCATTGCTATATCAGCATCACCATCTAATGTCTACAGTGAGAGCTCCCTAGTTTCCCCGATTTCCTTTCTGGGCTGAACCGTTCCTCCGATATCAGCTTTGTTTTCCCCGGTGGTCGGGGCTAATTTTCCGGGCAGGGCGTCAATCGACTCGAGCCATTGAGCGGGAGTGACGTAGCGGCGACAGGATCAGGTGTACAGGGCTGTATTTTCCCGCCACACGATAAAGTGTCGGGCAGTGTTCCGTGTTGGACGTTAAGCCGAGCTATTTACCATGAAGGGTGCCTCTCCTCTCCGGGGCCTCTATCGCTCGCCCAGCGGCGGCTATTGGACGGAGGCGGGCTCGGTAATTTGTCTTGAACGCAAAATCAATGTGCGCCATTGTCGGTCGGCAAGGTGCTCAATTTGGACGGTGTCGATACACCTGAAGTCACGTGAGTGAGGCAGCGATATAAGACGGAAGAATGCATCTATTGTACAAATGGTAGATCGTCGTTCACCCCTCTTTCTTCAAATTCAACGCCATCCTCTTTGAATCACGGCGTTTGGTGCTTTTGCATACATAAAGCCCGAAATTGCCGATAAACGTGGCGTCTGCGCACGATTAACCAAAGGCAAACGACTACCGAGCACGATCGCACTACATTACGGGGCTCCAGTAAGGGCTGCACCGCCACCTGCGCTCCCGGGGCCCGGTCCCCGATACCGCCCCACGGACAATGCCAGGAATACCAACAGAACGGATAACCAATGCCAAACGACAGTACATGACATTAGCGATGTAAGAAGCCGTTAGTATCCCTCTCGTATCGGGCTTTGCGCCTGGTGTTAGCGGGATGAACTGCACCCTCCCCAGACGACCATCAATATTTCAGGCGGCCAGGCCGTATATGGCATCCCGCCGCCCTTCAGCATCGGGCATGGCCTAATGCATGCTTAATTGCCCTGCGCACAGAACACGTATTGGAGCAGGCGGGAGAATTAATAATTGATCAACTCTAATGCAGGACACCCTGTTCTTGTCGCAAATCGCCTCAGCTCCCCCGGATATATTCCTCACATCAGATCAAGGAGAGCACTCCCCTACTTCACAGTCTTCCCCTATTAGCCTCTGTCATCTTACAGTACGGTAATACATTGTTTCCGAGGCAGGATATACTAGCTATGGCCTGTGATTGGGACGTTTTAGTATTGGATCCAAAATCCCTACCATCAGCACGTCAAACTGCCACATTTATTTCTCATATTCATTTCTACATCGGAGCCCACTTATCCCTGATTACAGCCTAACATGTCTCTGGGGACCCAAAAAGCCAATAACTTCCAAGATCAGATTTCGATAGGGGGGCGAGAAAGCTCTTCTCTCGGGCCCACCGGCCCTACTCTCCGGGTGATCTTTGACCTCGTTCTATTACCTCATTCCGAAGTGACTCACAGTCTGCTATTGTACTAGTACTCGCGTTTACCCCATTCTCGTATGGCCATGCGAACAGAAACATGTTTTATTTCATGTGCAGCGCTGACATCTACACTTGACAGTTGAACTCCGAATTGAAATGGTTCTGTTTAAAGCGGCAGGAAGATGGTGAATCTATTAGCAAAACTGCTATAGGACGTCCTGTTTTATATTATCGAACGAATGCTTTGAAGTTAACATTACGCAGATCGTGATATGTCCTTTGGCTCACCTATAACCGGTGCCCCTACCGACATTATCGAATTGTGACTGTACCAAATGGTAGTATCGGAAGGTACAGTGTGTTGGTGCGCGCTACAAAACCGACCGAAAATCGCGTGATATTTGTGGTGGCGCATGCGCAGGCTCCCCCGGCGCCGTCTCCAGCTCATTGAGCATTCCCTCCCATCCCCGAACCTTCCCCCAGATTTGCATCAGTCCCGCTGCCGCCGGTATGAAAAATTTATGCAGGCCAGATTTCCGTGTGTCAGGGAGAGGGGGCCAGGGAGTGCGAAATGACACGTTTCTCCCCTGCCGACAGGTGCCAAGAACGGTGAACTGTTTACCGCCGACAGGTCCTTTCCTTGTGGATGTGGATTTCTCCATAGAGGTAAGGCACGGCTTCCTCCTCTCGTCCCTGATGCTGACACCTCTGACCCGACGTTGCGTGCATGCTAAGATGTGCAGTAGACGTTTAGGGCTAGGCTCAGGGCTGTGGTTGCCACAAAAGGGGGGGAGGGAGGGAGCAAACGCGACAGCAGAAATGGCCTGCTGACTGATGATGGCGACTCGGAGAATAAGCGTTTGGGTGAACTGTGATGGAATTTGCCAAAAATAGACACTCGTTTACCATGTTAAGTTACACTTGAATCTGTAGTCGATATCAACGCTGTCACTGAAGCACACTTGACTTGATACGGGAAGCTAAAGATGTGATTGGCGAGTGGAATTAGCATTTAGTGGATTGTCGTGATCTTGGAATGTCGACATGTCTGGTAGAAATAAAGGTGCGTTAGAAATGTGTAATCGGGAGGATATATACTGCTGTGTAACGGCGCTAAGAATTCCCCTACCGGCCGGCCCCCGCACCATCCACCCTGCACCGATCCCGAATGATAATTGCCGGCTGATCGATACTGAATATATTCAAAATTGATTTGGCGTCACCGCGCTGCATTCCAATGCCGGGCTGCGTCGCGGTG